GTCATAAAATCAATTAATGAAAATATGATATTTTTTTTGTATTTTACTGTATTGAACAGTCGAAATAATTTATTTTTGACTAAAGAAAGTACCCAATTATAAAGCTATCAAACATAGTCTTCATTAATACGTCAATTTATTCTGCTCGTTTGCCTCCTATTCCATAAAAAAAGCCAAACTTGTTGATCTAATTATCAACATCACCAGAATTAAATGGTTTCATACAAGTACACCACTCATGTAGCCACATTACTTATAATGTTATATTGTAATTTACCCTTAATTACAATTCCATTCAAGTAACGAAACTTTCCATTACTTTGCAGATTGTGTCGACAGAACTGAAATTGTCACTGAAATTCTGTTTGTTGATATAGTTTAAATATTCGATTATACTGTTAAATTTTTAATATGGCTGCAATCATGACTTGGAGATTTTATTTGTTTATTCCATTCGTTGTATGTGACAAAGAAACAAATATGGGTTAAAATACTGGGCGTCGTGGTATTTCCTTAGGAGGTATCGCGTCCGTAAATCACTATTCAAAGGAATAGATAACTATTCAAAGGAATATAGTTATCTGTACCACTCTTCGGCCTCTTAAACATATCTAGGCGCCGTCAACTGGGACTGGTCAGCTCTAGACTGCATTTTTTATTGTCCTTAAGGTGATTTTCTTTTTTTGATCTCTTTGACTGGATTTTGGTATTACACTGTTCTCGCACAATCGAACCAATATGAGAACCTCCTCATTTTTTTGAAGTCGGTTAAAAATTATGTAACTGTAGAATTGTATTGTGAACCTGATTGAAAAAGAGTAACCTATGGAGTTTCTTGTTCGTTCTTCTCCATAGGAATGTACACCTTGGAATGAGCAAATAGGTAGCTTCACTTTTAATTACTTTTTAAGTTGAGATTCAAAAGTGAAATACAAAAATAAATGATTTTGACTTTGACTTTGATTGGGACCAAAAAGATATATAAGAACGCTCCGTTGCGATGTGAAAGAAATACAAAAAAGTTATCCTCGTTTTCTATTACAACAGATATAAAAACGTAACCTATTTATAATATTTATCGATATAACTTCTTACTCACTGCACTACTGCGAGTATCAAATGAGTATTAGAATACTTTTAATACGATTTCTCGCTACGTGATTGTGAGTGGCAGTGTTTACTCTGATTCATGGCGCTCAATAGTCTCAACTCTCAACTTTATTGGATTTACATTGAGGAAAACTGGCCCGTAGCTGAAGTGAATAATCTTTTTAACGTTTATTTTAAGTTTTAGTGTATATACATACATAACATCACGCCTTTTATCCCTGAAGGGGTAGGCAGAGGTGTACATTATGCCACTGTACAATGTAACACCCACTTTTCACTGTTTATGTTATGAGTCCCATGTAATAGGGGGTGAGCCTATTGCCATATACCGTTCACAAATCCAGACTCTGTGCTACTACTGAGATTTTTTTTAAAACCCAGTAATACTTTTCCCGACCTGGGAATCGAACCCGAGACCCCTTGCCTAGCAGTCGCACTTGCGACCACGAGGCAACGAGGCAGTTTTAGTGTACTGTTAAAATATATTGGTTATCGTCTCGTGGGTCAGAAAAAGATTTTAAACTATATTATAGATTCACAAGCGTGGGTATTAAGACACATGTAATATGCATACAGATCGTATTATTAGCTGGAACCGTATATGTAGAGGTATATGGTAATATGCTGGGTTATTATCACCAAAATGTAAATAACACAATTATTATTATAAATATTCAAATAGGTAACACATGAAAGAATGAAAGTAAAAATAACGAACTAAATGTTCACATTTTTATTTTCATTTCATGAATTTCATAAGATCATTATTTCTTGAGATCAAACAACATTTTCAATAGTAATTAATATACTGTGTTTTTATAATAACTATCGTGAGATATACTAAATTAACTAAAAATCGCGGGTTACTCACGTGAATATACTGAGGTGCTCATGAGGAAGAACCCCTCTGTGGTTCGAAACTAGTAGAGCTTTTCACAGTATATTCACGTAAATAACCCGCGATATTTAGTTAATTTAGTATGTCTCACTTACGATTTTTAGTTAATATAGGTACTGGTATAATTTTATTAACTGAACTCCGGGCATTGATTGTTTTGTTATAACTTGATTTTAATTTAATAACCGCCGTACTCAGAGTCATTTAATGACTACTTCAGTCCTTAGCAATTGTTTTTGGAACCAAATCGTTAAACTGTCAAACACCAAGCGGTCACCGGTGACCGCAAGTTTAAGGAATAGTTCAAGTAATCAATAGATGTCTCTGAGTATCGCAGTAAGGGCCGATTTCTCCATCTCCAGATTAATTTTAACTTTACTTTACTTTTCTAAACGCCCATGGACACCTGGAACACCAGAGGCGTTACTAGTGCGTTACCGGCCTTTTGGGGATTAGGAGTTTGAGGATCGTTGGGGATTCAGGGATTGGGGAGATTGGGGAAGGGGAGGGTAATTGGACCTCCGGTAACCTCACTCACACGATGAAACACAACGCAAGCGTTGCTTCACGTCGGTTTTCTCTGAGGCCGTGGTATCACTCCGGTCGAGACGGCCCATCCGTGCCAAAGCATGACTCTCCCACACTTAAAATTGACTGAGGAATAATTGAATATTTGATAAGACTTCCATATTTAAAACTGTCAACTGTCAATTTAATTGTACAGTTAAGAATTAACTGATGGTTGTATTCGATTTATCTGGCGTTAGAAAAATCGGTCCTAAAAGTAGTTCAAAGAATTGATAAAAATACTATTTCATTTTCAGTCACAATTAATTGAATTAAAATAGTTTGATGTTCTTTATTCAGACTTTTGTTCAAGATTCGCTGTATCATTTGGTCACTGTTCAAGGGTTATATGTACGGCACTCGGCAGACTGGCAAAGGTTCGCATCCAGGACACTCAGGTGGTATGTACACTATGCATTCTTCTTCTCCAAGACAGATGTGGTCATCACATACATCTAGGGATGAGTAACAGGACCGGTAGGCTGGAAAAGAAAAAAAAACATGTCAATTTTCCACGGGTAACGAGTTTTGTCAAAAGGCATGATTAATTATATAACGTAACATCACGCCTTTTATCCCCGAAGGGGTGAGTAGGCAGAGGTGCACATTATACTACTGTACAATGTAACACCCACTTTTCAGTATTTCTGTTATGAGTCCCATATAATAGGGGGTGAGCCTATTTCCATATACCGGGCACAATTCCAGACTCCGTGCTACTACTGAGAATATTTAAAAAAAACCCAGTAATACTTTGCCCGACCCGGGAATCGAACCCGAGACCCCTTGCTCGGCAGTCTCACTTACGACTTTTTGATTAATTTTTCACTGTGACAAAGTATTAGTTAAGTCTATCAGTGTTTGAAAGCAATACTAATATTTTTGAACGTGTAGCCGGGATATGCATTCAGTCTTTAGCATAAGTTCAATGATCTTTACAATACTGAACTAATAAAAACGTAAATGTCAAAGTAGTTGTTATCATATTTCATATGATTCGTTCTCCTGTAGATTAAAAGTACATACATATGTAGGATAATTATTATCAACGATATTTAAACTGTCAAACACCGCGAGGACACCGGTGACCACAACCTATTGTTCTTTAATTGTGTCTATAATGACGGTACTCGACGAGTTAATGTACCAACAACTTTATTCTTTAGGTCGTAAATACCACTATTAGGAACGGAACATTTACAAGCCTATACTGACCTAAAATATGTACTACAGTAAACTAGATCATAACTAATTTTAAGTTAAAATGAGCTACCTAACGTAATGCCTGGATAATTATATTACTTAACATGAGTGACTGGATGTCAGCATGTCTGTCATGCATCCATCAAATGTCATACATTGTGTGAATAATACATGATGTTACAATGCACGTACTAATGTTACAATAGATGTTGAATGTGTTACTTTTGTTCGATTTTCCTGTTGTCTGTTATAATGTGTTGAGATTTAGATTCTTATTGTTAAGACGACTGTTTTTTTTTAAGGGGGGAAAATCATCGTATGACTGGAATTGTGCCCGGTATAGCCCGGTATATATAGGCTCACCCCCTATTACATGGGACTCATAACATAAATAGTGAAAAGTGGGTGTTACATTGTAGAGGTATAGTGGTATAATGTGCATCTCTGCCTACCCCTTCGGGGATAAAAGGCGTGATGCTATGTTCTAGTATTTTGTCAGATCCTTTAAGCAATGCAGCATGATCTATTGTAATGATGTTGCAACAGTGATGACCCGCTGGTATTTGATCATTTTAATTAATTTTTAGTTAGTATAAAATGTTTTTAGATAGATAAGTTTAGGCTACGATAGGGTTGACGTAGTCTATTGGTTATGTACTTTTATTTACGAGCACTGGGGGTAAGTGAGAGAAACACTGAGAGTCCATGTAGGGACTAGTAAATTTATTGCTAATCAATGCCAAACTCAAACTAACACAAAAATTTCGAATGGGGTAGGTGTATCGACGGAGAATCTTAACACCGCGATGTACATTGTGACGTATTTTAACAACGCCATCTAGTTTCGTGCGGCAGAACAATTTAACTACAAACATACCGCCCACCAAGGACATTATGATAACTATGTCCTTCATTACAAATAACCGCCCACCATGAGGTCAGGGGCCAAAAGAAAACTGAAACAAACTAGACTGATGACGTGAAAACTAATTAAAATTTTTAACCTTAGATCTCTAAACAATTATAGAATGTGGACTGTATTTAAAATTTATAACATCTTGTACATAGTTTAATCAAAATTGACTGATCTAATAGTGTTTAACTAGAACCATACCCATTCAAATTAACATCTACCTATACTAAAATAAACAAAGTCGTTAAACAAACAAAGTTGCGTACTTATCAACACTCATTCAAATTAAATTTACTTATAAACAAACACATAAAAACACTCCTTAAAATTAAACTTACTTATAAAGCACACACATTAGCCTGCAATTGGCAAAATACACAATTTTGAAGTAGGTCGCTTTATCAAAGAACCATTACATTTTAAAGTTACTACTCGTGTAACTTTATCCAAACCAGGATGCTTGTCTTCAATCTTTCCCAAAAGCCAACGCGCAGGAGGCAAGTTATCCTCCTTTACTAAGACTACATCTCCTATGTTTGGTTCTGGACTAAATTTTGTCCATTTATAACGTTGCAACAAATGTACTAGATATTCATCTGCCCATCGCTTCCAAAAATCTTGCAACATGCGTTGTGTGACTTGCCAACGTCTCAAATTACTAATGTTAGATTGGTCATAACTACGCTCAGGCACCGTTATCAGAGGCTCCCCTATCAAGAAATGACCGGGAGTTAATGGAGTAGGATCTGAGGAACTATCAGGTAACATGGATAGCGGCCTAGAATTTAGGCAAACTTCTACTTGAGCTAAAAGTGTTGTCATCTCTTCGAATGTGAGCGTGGAATTACCTATTACACGTTTCAAATGGAATTTGGTCGATTTCACACCAGCCTCCCATAAGCCACCGAAATTTGGGGAGTGAGGCGGAATGAAATGCCAAGATGTGGAATTATTACCCAACCACTCTCTAATTTCTACAGCTACCGAAGATTTTTCAGCAGCGACTAAATGCCGAAGCTCCTTGGACGCGCCAACAAAATTGGTTCCATTGTCGCTCCAGATGTTACTGACAAAACCTCGCCGAGCTACAAATCTCTTAAATCCAGCGATAAACCCTTGGGACGTTAAATCACTGATGACTTCTAAATGAATAGCCTTAGTCACCATGCATACAAAGACACATATGTAACCCTTATATGATTGATGGCCTCGACCCTTCGAGGTTCGGATGTTGATGGGACCAGCAAAGTCCACACCACTGTTAAGGAACGGTCTTGCAGGAGTGACTCGACTAGATGGTAATTGACCCATAAGTGGGATTTGAACAGACGCTGAGTACCGCTTGCAACGTACGCATTTGTGCACGTAAGCCCTGACCTTTGCCTTGGCAGAAGGAATCCAATACTTAGTACGCAGGTGGCTCAACATTAGTGTTGGTCCTCCATGCAAGGTTCTTTTGTGGGTTTCATCGATTACGAGATCGGTGAAGTGACTGTTAGGCGGTAGTATGATAGGGTGTTTGACAGCTTCATCTAAATCGGCGTTATTAATGCGTCCGTTTACTCGAAGAATGCCTTCTTCATCGATAATTGGACAAAGACTCTTGAGCTTGCTTTTCGCCTTCACACTTCCTGTCTTTCTTATGTCTTTCATTTCTTCGAAAAACTCTTTATTCTGAACCAGTTTTATACATGTTTTTGTAGCTTCTAGTATTTCCTCCTTGGTTAGATACTTTTCCAATCTCCTTTCACCATTGAACTGTTTCCTCCAACTCAAAACTCTTCTACAGTATCCCATAACCCGAATTAACCTTTGAAACGATGAATACCTCGTCCAAATGAGATCTTCCTGCGATGATTCGGTTGCGACGTGAACCTTAATTGACCTTTGTTCTGCCTTAGTGCTGATTGACGTTGGTCTTGTGTATTCGATGATTTCATTACGCAGCCATGAGGGTCCTTGACTCCACAGCGAGCTGCCAACAAGTTCTTGTGGTGTCACGCCTCTGGATGCTAAATCTGCAGGATTATGCGTAGATTGGACATGAGCCCAATGTGAGTTGTCAATTTGAGACAGTATGGTGGACACTCTGTTTCCAACAAACGTTGTCCAGGTGCTGGGATGCTTACTAAGCCATGCTAGAACCACTGAAGAATCAGTCCAAGCGTGTATTTGATGGGATGCGATTCTCATTACTTGAGCAACTTCAGTAATGAGCTCGGAAAGTAATACTGCTCCCATCAGCTCTAAACGCGGAATTGACTGTTGCTTCACTGGTGCAACTTTAGTTCGAGAAGTGATCAAACCAACATGGATAGATTTGTGAGCATCGATGACTCTAACATACACCACGGCTGCATAGGCCGCAATCGATGCATCGCAAAATCCATGCAGCTCGACATTTAAATCATCGGAACGCGTGTGAACCCATCTAGGAATGCTTAACTTCTTTGTTTCCACAAGACTCGAGCGGTAAGTTTCCCATTCTGATGAAAGTTCCGGAGTCAATTCTTCATCCCATTCCAGGCCCGCAAGCCAAAGCTTTTGAATGAAGATCTTTGCGGTGATGATACAAGGTGCGACCCAGCCGAGTGGATCGAACAAACGAGCAATATCGGATATTACCCGTCTCTTGGTAATTGGAGTTTGTTGAGGATCAAGCTGTATTGAATATTTAAATTCATCATTCTCTCGATCCCATGAAATACCTAAGATTTTCATGACTGAGTCCAGCTTAATATCCTTTTTCTCTTCCGGTGGTATATTAGTTCCAGAACACGCTTGAATCCTCTTGTTCAATTTGTCGCAGCTGCTTACCCACTTCTGTAGTTGGAATTGACCTTTGGAGAGCAACTCCGTTAATTTCTCAAAAATGTGAAATCCTTCTTCAACAGTCTGACACCCTGTCATTAAATCATCCACATAAAACTCCCTTTTAATTATGTTGACTATTTCAGGATAACTTTGACCTTCATCGGCCGCAATCTGCTGTAAGCATTTAACTGCAAGGTAAGGAGCTGACGCTGTACCAAACGTAACCCGTACTAATTTGTATACCTTTATTTCAGCTGCTGGATCGTCGCGCCACACTACTCGCTGAAAATCCGTGTGCATTGGAGAAATCTTTATTTGCCTATACATTTTTACAATATCGGCGCAAAGACTTATGGGGTGCATTCTCCATGCCATGATGAGGTGACGTAAAGGGGGTTGCAAAGGGGGACCCACCATAAGATCGTCATTGAGCGATACCCCATTTGCCCCTTTCATTGACGCATCGAAAACTACTCTGACTTTGGTCGTGGTCTTATCTTCACGGACCACGGCATGATGCGGTAGATAAACAGCTGTAGGTTTATCATCGTGTACTGGTACCATGTGACCAAGGCTAATATACTCCTTTATAACTTCGGAATATCGGACCCTAAGTAATGGCTCTCTATTGAACTTGTTTTCAAGAATTTTAAACCTTTTTATCGCTAGGTCTCTTGACCTTCCATATTGACACTGAGGATCTAGATCGCGAAAGGGAAGATTAACAACATAACGACCCTCCTCATCACGGTTAGTAGTTTGTGAAAAAATATCCTCGCATCGCTGCTCTTCCACTGAAAGGATTTTCTTTTCAGGGATAACAGATTCTATTTCCCAAAACCGTCGCAAAAGTGCGTTGTCATCAGCCTGATCTGAGCTGCTTTGAATGACATGATGACAATGAATGGAACTACTGTTGGACGCGACTTGTCCAGAAAGGATCCATCCTAACGCAGTATTCTGGGCTACTGGTAGGTTGGGTGATCCTTGAATTAAACCATCTCTTAGAACTTTACTATATATTTCCGCACCAAGTAAGATATCTATCTTACTTGGAATATGGAATTCGGGATCAGCTAAGGTTATCCCCTGTAGCTCGGGCCAATAAGATTGCTCTAATTTCTCTGAGGGTAAAAGCGAAGTAATGGTACCTAGTACGAACGCTTCTACTTGGACACTAAAACTGGGATCTAAGCGTGAGTGAATAGTCATTGTGACTGTGAACTTTGAAGCAAAAGAGCTTCTCTCACCGCCTAAACCAGATATTACCGATTTCGTCGGTTTCTTCCTAAGTCCAAGTAGCTGCACTGCTGATTCTGCTATGAATGAAGCCTGAGATCCTTGATCTAATAGCACTCTCAGCAGTTGTGTAGAACCACTTCTTGTCTGTGCTTCGACAAGAGCGGTAGCCAACAAAACTTGAGTAGGTACTGACCCTTTAGAAAAATGCGAAACTATGTTAGAAGTCGATGGATCGCCTTCTAATAACGATGCCTTAACATTTGAGACGGCTGATTTAACTAATTCAACTGTATTTGAGCCCTTACTAGCTTCGGTGGAGTTTGACATCGAAGGATGAAGCAGTGAATGATGCCTACGTTTGCAAATACGACACGACGACGATTGTCTACAAAACTTAATGGAGTGGTTTGAATTTAAACAATTATAACACAAGCGCCTGGATTGTGCAAAGCTATGACGAGTTTCGTAACTTTCTTGTGCAAACTTTTTACAATTTGCTATTTTGTGACTTTCATTACAAAATAGACAACTGTCACTAGATTTGTTGTTACTAATTACATGGTGAACCTTAGGTTTTGGCTTAATTACCTTGGTGTCTAAAAATTCGAGAGCACGGAATCTGGATTCTAAAAAATCTCTGAACTCTGAAAGCACTGGTAACTCGTCACTTGAGCAAATTTTAGTTTCCCATTGCTTTCGAGATTCAGGATCGAGTTTCGAGCTAACAATGTAAATAACAATAGTATCCCAAGTACTGATGTCAACACCGAGATTCTTTAAACCATTTATGCATTCCATTGTGGTATCCAATAAGTTTTTAACACTAGTTGCACATTCTACTATATTGTTTTGACTTAGTAATCGTTTTAACAAACTGTTAGACAAAAATCGCTTATTATTGTATCTGCTATGTAACAAAGACCAACATTCCTCATAATTGTCGGAGGAGACCGCAACATGCCTGACCAGCTGCTCGGCCTCTCCAGACAACAAACCTTTTAAATAGTGCATTTTTTGTACGTTTTCTAAATTTGAATTATTGTGTATCAACGTTGTAAATAAATCTCTGAATGTTGTCCATTCCGTATAACTACCCGAAAACTTAGGAATATTGATTTTTGGTAATCTAACATTTGTGGTTGCGTGATCAAAATTTGTCTTTGTACCCTTTTCGTCACTATAATTAATGCTAAATTTATTCAAACTTTCCTTTAATTGACATTTATGATATATGTATGTTTCTTCAGTGGTATCATAAATATCATCTATAAAATATTTATCACATTTTTCTTGAGTGTCCGTAGCACTCTGAATTATATTTCTATGTGTGGCTACAAAGTCTTTCCACAGATTTTCTAGAGATTCAAGTCTGGTTTCTACATAATTTTTACTGATTCTATCCTTAGGGGCCTTTTTGAAGTTAATCTGTGCTTTTTCTATGAGATTTTTAGTGTTATTTTGTAATTTATATAAAGCCTCCATGTTTCTTTAAATTCTACTAAAAATTTCTACCAAACTACTAATTTTTCTACCAAAGACAATTATTGATCGCAAACCGTTAAAGTAAAATTTTATAACGATTACAATTCTATTGACACACGATATCACAAACAATTAATGAATAAGTAGTTAGAAATTATGAGTAATTAATAATGAAAGTTCAAATAATATACACAATAAATTTTATAAGTTCAGATAAATTCTTCTCAGATGTGACTTTCTGTTATGTTCAGAAACCCGACGTGCCAGTATAAAATAACAATAATGTACTCACGATTTTTCTTCGACAAACCGCACTATGCACTATCACTTCACTGACGTACTGCTTCTCCTGGGTGTGGGATGCCCAGGTGAAAAAACTCCACTCTCGCGCAGACGGACTCGTTCCGCCCTGCGCCTCACACAGCTGATGCCGTATGATGATTCCTCCGCCCTGCGCCGTACTCCTGGTGCTGGTGCTCGCCAACTCTGCTGCTGCAGCACTGCTCACCACTCACTGTGCACACCAGCTTGGGTATGCGGCGCTTCAGGGCAATCCACCCTGGTTTCCACGCCAAGATTCACTTCACTACTGGAACTCACTAGCACTCAACACTTATAATCCGGCTCGATAGGACCATGTACTTTTATTTACGAGCACTGGGGGTAAGTGAGAGAAACACTGAGAGTCCATGTAGGGACTAGTAAATTTATTGCTAATCAATGCCAAACTCAAACTAACACAAAAATTTCGAATGGGGTAGGTGTATCGACGGAGAATCTTAACACCGCGATGTACATTGTGACGTATTTTAACAACGCCATCTAGTTTCGTGCGGCAGAACAATTTAACTACAAACAGTTAAATGCCCCATAAATAAAAAATCTAGATTTTGTAAATTTAAGTATAATATTGTCTGTAGCGGTATGAGGTCTGGAATTGGGTTAGGTGATGCATTTAAAGTTTCACCCGGCTTCATCGTCAATGAGTAATATTTTATCAAATGACATTAAAGTCGATCTACCATTTTAGTAACAAAAATACATCGAATAATTAATATCACATTTTGTTTTAGTCTACCGCAAGTATCACAATGAATCCTGCGACCTTGTCCACTATCAACTATCATATAATAGTACTATTACATAAACATAGATGGACATACAAGATACTCACTGTCGATGCACTCGCCGTCAAAACAGCACCCACCACAGCATTGTTCATGGTCCGCGCACTGCAAGCAATAGTTTGTGTTGAGTTAGTAATGTGATTGACATCTCTCTACCTACTCTCAAAGTATATAAATGGGTGTTATATTATGCCATGTGAGTATTGCAAACTGTTGTTTTTTACGAACACGGAAGAGAGTCCTCAAAAATATTCGCCTGAAACTATACAAGCATACAACTATATAAAAACAGTTTATAATAACTATCGTGAGACATACAAAATTAACTAATCGCGGGTTACGAGAGCAGCGTACGCGGTCGCGGCGACGTCACGCAACTCATAAGGAAGAACCCCTCTGTGGTTCGAAACTAGTTGAGCTTTCCGCAGTATATTCACGTGAATAACCCGCGATTTTAGTTAATACAAGCGTTGTTTCGCCGTGTGAGTGAGGTTCCTAGAGGCCCAATGCGTCCCCTTATCCCCACTCACAGACCGGCACTGCACATGTTACTCCTATGGTATGGCAAGTTTCACAGGTAACACCGATTGCTTACTATCAGGTAATTTGTCTGCTAATCTACTGTCCGCGTGCGCGTAAGTGGAAACTACCGTTTTTAAGAAGATTATTAATTGCGACGGAACCAAGACAGTTATTCATGTCCCTGAGACGCGCCGAACTTCAGTGTTCCGGTGTTCTCATGGTTGTATCTACTGTAGATCCTGGCTTACAGGAGTTGCAGCGGTTTTGGGAGGTTGTGTCCGCGTGCGCCTCAAGGAGTCATTAGACCACCACAGATGGGGTCCAATAGGGCTGATATCGATACGGAGGACTTAATGGGTTACCGGGGCTCGGGCTCGAAGTGCAGGAGAAGGAACGGGGTGGTTTTTAGTCAGTTAGAGTCTGACACTCCCTGTCACCTTAACCGGGCGGGAGAAGTCATTGGATGATTTTATCCCCTCGAAAAAAAAACAAGTCTACCATCCTACATACCATAAAAAGAGTAATTATATGGAACGTTGAAAATATTGGTTTTCTGCATATTTTTCCAGAATATTTTGGACGATTTTGAATAACAACAATTCCCTTAATATACATACACTACCTTTTTTTTTATGGAATACATAACCCGGTAAACGAGCAGACGGATCACCTGATGGTAAGCAATCAGCGTCGCCCATGGACACCTGGAACACCAGAGGCGTTACAAGTGCGTCACCGGCTTTTTGGGGATTAGGAGTTTGAGGATCGTTGGGGATTCAGGGTTCGGGGAGATTGGGGAGATTGGGGAAGGGGAAGGTAATTGGGCCTCCGGTAACCTCACTCACACGACGAAACACAACGCAAGCGTTGCTTCACGTCGGTTTTCTGTGAGGCCGTGGTATCACTCCGGTCGAGCCGGCCCGTTCGTGCCGAAGCATGGCTCTCCCACACTTATTTAGACTCATGGTAAAACTTTGTTAATTTATTACAATTGTCATGTACTGCACTCAAGTTTAAGTTAACAGTACTTTATAATTACGAGAAAATAAAATACGATGCGATAACATTTAAGTGTATAACATAAAGATTAATCGAAAACCAATAGGCAATTACTATTGAATTAGCCATTTGCCCTCATTAGTTAATTGGTACAATAATTGGCCCAATTTGCCGTATAACGAGACTGTTTTAGGACAATTTAGGGTAATTTTTTTGTTGTCTTTGTTTTTAAGGTTCTGTATTTAAATTGACTGCCTCGTTGGCTGATTGGTCGCAAGTGTGACTGCCGGGCAACGGGTCTCGGGTTCGATTCCCGGGTCGGGCAAAGTATTACTGGGTTTTTTAAAATCTCAGTAGTACCACGGAGTCTGGAAATGTGCCCGGTATATGGCAATAGACTCACCCCCTATTACATGGGACACATAACATAAATAGTGAACAGTGGGTGTTACATTGTACTTGATTGTACAGTGGCATTAAGTGTCATAATGTGCACCTCTGCCTTCCCCTTCGGGGATAAAAGGCATGATATTATGTTATGTTAAATAAATTGTCTTAAATCTGATTATATGCCCATTTTGTTGATAGTGTCATTTGGAACGATTTTTTTTACCTTTTATGCTTTAAATCTTTGTATTCAATGTTTGACGCACATTACCATATTCTAACGACATCGATTGAAAAAAAACTAACTCATAATCAGAAGAAAACTCACTAAACCTTTTTCCCGCCAACTTTACAATCTTGCGCGCCGGCGAACACAATTACAAAACTAAATAACAACACTATAACAAAACCAATTTTTACAAACATTTTTTTTACACTTTTCACATGTCCCCACACTACAAGTTTCAAATCATATAATTATGAAAAAAAAAGAAAAATTGTCACGAGCTATCGTGTCTATGAAATTATGTAAAATGGTCGTGTGTGCGCAGGCGCCGACCTCGACCATTGTGACCGAGTTAGCTCAGCTGCACTGCCACTATTACGTATTGTATTAGCAATAGAATTCTGTTATGTCAGATTGACAGTTGCGATTGCGTAATTGGATAATAGGAGCCTGTATGAATTGATGATAATAGTATAATGACCTGTGTAGAATTTGGAAATTGTATATTGCTACGGCTTTAGAGACCTATAATCGTTTATCATACCTAATGATGAAAATAAAGAATAGTTACTAAATGAACCTGTTACTTCGTCCGTGTTTGTCTACTCTAAATTAAAAGCAGCCTATATTTCTTCTCAGTACATCAGCTATCTACCAATAAAAGTCTCGTCAAAATAGGTCCAGCCATTCCAGAGATAAGCCAGTATAAACAAACAGACAGACAGACAAAAATTGTAAAGAATGAAATTTGGTATGTGTATCGTATGTATATTCATATGCATGTAGTAAGAAGCGGTTATTTTGATATTGCAAACAGAAACTCCAAATTTATTTATCTGTATATATGTATATAGATTTTCATTTTAGAATACTTAGGTGTAATAAAATAAAATATATTGCTAATTAAAGTAATATCTAAGTATACTCTAAATTATGACCATTTAGCGATCTAGACACGTAATAATTCTATATGGTAAGTGAGATGTCGAAAAACTAACCAAACTAATGTGACCCCTCTGTACCCATACAAATATCTTTTCCATTCCTATTTCAGTTCGTGTGTAGATAACACAGAGGTCAAGTTAAACTAGATATTAGTTAGTAACGCCTGAATAATCTTGTAAAATACGGGTCTAAAATATATTCATTGGTTTTTATAACAATTGTGAAAGTGCTATTGTGTAATCAGATTAATGAAGTCATGCTGGTATTGTCATCTTTGACAGTTATAGTATTATTCGATTTATAAACAATTCGTCCGTTAAATTAGGACCGGATGGGTAATTGATTATGGTGATCGTCTTTTGTTTATTTCAACAATAAAAATATTTTTTTTCCATGTTTTGTTTTTGATTGCGGAATACGATTTACTAGAAAACATAACGTAGTCCAATTTGTTTAAATTAAGTTAAAAATATTTTTTTATTATACCTATATATTAATTTGTTTTCACTTCTTTATACTTTTTTATTGTGTAACTAGCTTGTGCCTGCGACTTCGTACGCGCAATCCCATTTTCTCCTGTTCCCGTAGGATTTGCAGGTTTTTTCTGTCATAAAAACCTTGTCCTGATCATCCAAATCGGTCTAGATGTTCCCAAGTTATGGCGTGACAAAGGGAAACGGGTTTCATTTTTATATATACTATAGATTAAAACGAATGTTCTAGTGACCGCTACTGGTATATAGAATTCCATAATACAGTCCATTGTTAAATTTGTTCCGTATTTAAGAACAATAACGTATGTATTAGCAATGTTCCACACTTACATTATGCTTTAAAAATTCAGAATAATAAAAGAAATAGTACTTACAACATCTCCATAGTCGTCACAATCGTCAATCATTGCAAATGTTGAATAAGTAATAATAATAATAAACAACAAAACCAGCTTTACGCAACCAGACATGTTCCCTTGATTTATGAATCGACACACAGCCAGCAATCGATCGCACAGCTTCATTTATTATCTACGAAGTACCAACCCTAATAGTTACCCTACATTCTCTTCCCAACCTTATCTACTTCGCTACAAAGTTCAATTTTGTTTGGCGCTTATCTTAGTAGTGTTTGGATCCTTCAGTCGTGTGCCAAGGATGTCACGCTGTATTAAAAATCAATCCGTGATAAATTTTGAATAAAGTGAGGTCTTTGATTGTTGCTGGTTGACAATAATATGTCGAATGGCCAATTAAGGACATTGATTACTTTGTAGGTTAAGTAGTTGCAATTGTAACTGTAGGAGATGAGGTCTTGGGTACAATCCACTGACGAGAAAAAATACTCAGTTTTTTTTATATAAAAAATAACCCAGGCATTTGTCTATAGACTCAGTAGCTATTTAAAAAAGACTTCTTACAAGTAATATTAATGTTTATTTTTTTGGTGTAAAAGCCAAGACAAGACTGCACGGTTGGTGCGGTGGCTGGGCGACCGGCTGCCGTGCAACGTGTCGCGGGTTCGATTCCCGCACGGAACAACACTATGTGTGATCCACAAATTTCGTCTGGTCACACGTTTCGGGTCTGGGTGTCATGTGTATGTGAATTTGTATGTTTATAAACGCACCCAC